ATGAGTTTCGGAATATTCTTGTCGATTTCCAGACTGTGTTCATTGAGGTCCAGAAGTGTAATGGACAAATACCGAACTTCAGTTTTAATGTCTGCTAAGATACCGGACGTGTTCTGTTCAAACATTTGTTTTTCCTGTAGCAGCTGTGTTTCGAACACTCGGCGACTGACGTCAACCATTGTTAAATTTTCTTTTAAAGACTCAATATTCTCATTACATATGGTTACTTTGTTGCTTAATCGGTTGTTTTCCAGCTTTAGTGATCGCACCTCTTTCTTCAACTCGGCTATTTCTCTGGTGGTTGTTTCTTTCAGCGAAGACATTTCGCTCTCTGAAGACACGAGACTTTGTTGAAGGGACACCATGTCTTTCATCAGTGCGTGGACATTTTTCACCAATGTCATTCGGATCAGAGTCTCTTGATTTAGTAACTGTCGAAATACGTCTACGTGTTTAGTATCAAGTGAACCGAAGTCTAAGTCTGTTGAGTTCTTTATACTGCCGTCTGTTAGAATTGAGAAAGCGTGGGACCCAAACAAACTTATTACAACGAACGAAAAACACGACAAACGCTTCATGTTTGAAACACAGTCAAGAAAATCAGACAAATTGGATGCTATTCACTTTTTATACCGACTATAAAGGTGTCTTTAATAAATTAACGTAAAACCCAAATCCAAACAATTAAGATAGCAAATAAATTATTTCCTGAGTATGTGAGTGCATCCATCAATAGTTTTAGCTCACCAGTGTCACTATTTCAATGATACTTTATTTCTTAAATAATGATAGTTTTCGAAGACTTGATAAAGAAGAGAACGGACAGAAACTGGTTTTTTGATGATCCAAACGTATCTGGCGAGTATTGATCCACTTTATTGTTCCCCTACCACGAAAACAGCTATCCTGCAGGTTTTACCTTTGTATGTTTGTCTGATGGTTCCTTGGTTTTCTAGAAGGTTTTTAGTAAAACTTTGAGGAATTACTGATTGGTATTTAAATAATTTGGAAGGCAAGGATCAAATCCTATTTTAAGGAATTTCATTGATTTTATTCATTGTTTCATTGGAGGCATGATCTTTTGTAGGCCAAGAATGAAAACCTAGTTTTTGAAATATCATTTACATTACTGTAGATCACTTATTTTCACAACACCCTATTTTTGCGAGATAGTCATTGATTCTTCATAAGCAAGACAAAATTTTCACGAATTGTGGTCATTGCTCTATATAATCCTAAGGAATGATATTATTCACGAGAATAAATTTTCGCACGCACACACGTTTGCGAAAGTAAAGTGTGATTTACAGTATATTTTTAATTAAATGACTTTTGATTCCTCTCAAGAAATATTTGACGATAACGAACAGTATACAAGCTCAAAAGTCCATTTTTTGAATTCATGACTTTATGAAAAATAATTATGCTTTCAAATACAATAAGCTGTCAATTCGTTTATAATTTACCTATAATAACCAATTAATTTTATCAACACATGGACGACCCATAGGTGTAGTGTCATTTACATAAACATCCAATTAACACCTCCATGCTAGCCCCAGGCATTCACTGTTTTCCAGGTAAGTCCATGCTGCATCAATTTTACACTTGACTGGTGTGTATACAGGCGCAATCAAAACTTCGAGAGATAGAGAGTAAAAAATCAATGCAATATGTGTAACGTGACCCAGGTCTTGGTTCGAGAGATAGAGAGTTTCGAGAGATAGAAGTTAGAGAGATCAATAGTAAATTTGCTTAGTTGTATAGAGGAAAAAACGGGACCGGACGTTCATTTCGAGAGATCGAGAACTTCGAGAGTTCGGAGTTCGAGCCATCGAGAGTCATCTGTATATACGACATCAATTTTTTTGTCAGTTGGATATGGTTACTGTCACTTTTCTGCATTTTTGCAAACGTTATGTTTGGAAATGTTCAAAAATGCTATTTTCAAAATTCAGGCATGTTACCATGGTAACCATGAAACATAGCAGTCAAGTTTTCATATTTTGTTTCTTTGTATGTTGTTTAAAGTCCTTCTCAAGAATATTTCACTCATATGGAAAGGCCAGCCTGATATGAGTTTATGATAATATATATTTTTTTAACTGCAAGTTTGAAGAAAATTGCCACTGATATATTACCGTATATATACTCGCCTATTTAAGTCGATCCGCCTATAAGTCGGTTGTATTTAAGCTTATATATCAGAGGGACTTACCTCAAATAATAACGTTCTTTTTATAGCTCGCCTTTAGTCGGACAAAGAGTTTTGGACCAGAGATTAACTCCCCAAAACCGACTTATAGGCGGGTAAATACGGTACATGAGAATAAATGTTACTGCTGACTGTCCCTTGATGACACTCTTAGAATGGATGTTTCAATTGGTCACTTTTTTCAGAAAAACAAAGTGATAGGTTGTGCAATAGTTACTCTTTTAAATAGTCTTCTATTTAACATTTTTATAAGAAGCCTCGATGAAATCATGGAATTTTTGATTTCCAATGCTGAATCTTGGTTTTAATTTGGGTTTTTGTTTTCATGAGAAACATGGGATGTTACAGCCCATGAACCTCACCGTTGAGTATAACAAGTTTTAGGAGGAGGGTGATTTTTTGGAAAGATACAGTGGAATTAAATTCATGGATATCTAAATGAATAAATGGCGTAATTAGTATATCTGATATTCATGACCATTTTGACTTCACTTTGAGTTTAGATCGATTATCAGCTATGCAAATAATTCTAAAAATTAAGTATTTTCGCTGTTTTAGTTGTAAAATGTAAAAATGTAAAGTAGGAAAAGACTTAATGATCCCAACGTTAGATAACCGTAATTTAAAGTGCATCTTTTCCCAAAGGTCATGAATGTCAGATATACTAATTACGCCATTTATTCATTTAGATATCCATTAATTTAATTCCACTGTACTATTACGTTTCCATCGTCCAGATAATCTGGCATGAAGTTTTCACCTCTGTAAATTTTAAAACATGTAAGACGCCTTCATAAACGCGCGAAGGTCCGTCCAGTAAACTGTTTAAAATTATTTATTATATACCCATCTATTTCCTTGTTTTTGTTACTGTTAATTTTACAGAGTTTGATCCGATTTTCCGGATCACCACACTGTGGTTTTCTGAATCCATATCACCAATCTCTGAAACTGATGACGTAGTACGCAAATACATGACTTTATTTTTCTTGCGCGTTAATGTCCCTTGTTATTATGCTTTGTTTTATGGATAAATATTATACAATTGATCTCTAAAGTTTTATTCTGCTATAATTAGCTAGTTATAAGGAGGTATATAATAAATTTATCATTATGACAATAACTTGATCCGAAGAGCCGTATCACGTCTCGTTGACAGGCGCGGATCATCAGATCAGACTCGACGCTTCGCGCCTCGTTAGATCTGATGATCCGCGCCTGTCAACTCGACGTGATACGACCCTTCGGATCAAGTTACTGTTATAATAATATATACGTATCTGATGATTTTTTTTTCTTTGAGAGCCTTTGAATACGATATATTTCGGACTTTTGTGAATAAAAGTGAAGTACATGTATAATTTTTACATATTAAACCTAAAAAAAATCCTCTTCAACAAAGGATGTAATATACCTGCCAACCCCTCCCAAAACTGATTGAAGACAACAGACAGACATAAACTTGTGTTGCTTATCTCTAAATGAAGAAGAAGATGCACATGTATAGATTGTCTTTACTAGTAGTAAAAATGTTATTCAGAGTTATCTAAAAGGGAATGAAACCCAGTGAACACTGTAAACACTGTTGGATTCCACTCCGTTTTTTGATTTAACCGTTTTCGCAATCATTACGAGGCAATGTGGTCAGTTTGGATGGGGGTGGGTGTTAGCTAGACCTCAATTTATAAATAAAAAATGATGAATTAAGTTTTAAAATAGAATCAGAATTCGAAGAACTAGAAAGTCTGCTATTGCAAGCAATAGCGCATGTCGCCCCGAACTAGACAAGACTTTCATTTTTTTCATCACTAAAACATTAGCTAAGCTTGGACAACAATCAACTCGTATCAGTACTTTCAGTACTTTGATTTAAAAATCAAAGTTAAAGAATTTTCACTTTTCCCTAGTTTCCATGGAAACTATTGACAATTTGCAATTTTTAAATGCAACACGCACAATTACAGATACTAATCATTACATTAATAAAATTTCATGAAGAATGTTCAAGGGACCAGAGAGAACACTCGCAGACAAAATTCGTCGATTTTAGCACGTTTCCATGGCAACAGTAGACAATCTGAAACTGAATGACCACACAACACAACCAGTGATCCTCGTTTGAGGAAAGCTTCAGGAAGATTGTCCTAGCCTACTCCGAGAAACAGCCCGTAGAACAAAAACATGCGTACAATCGCAATATGTCGCCCAACTTCGACATAATAAGAACAATGGCTACAGAAGTTTTTAAAATTTAAAAAATAAATGAAGTCTACCTTATTTGTCTGATCTATTCATATTCAAAGAAACATCAGACAATCGTTTTAAGAAAAGTTATGGAGTTCAGGTACCTAGGGTAAGAACTACTCGACATTGTCTAATACTCCTTTAGATATGTAGGAGCCAAACTTGAAATCTGAAGTTGATTATATGTATATATAAAAAAGTTCAGAGAACAGTTTTTTTCAAACTCGTTATATTGTACTTAGATGAACTCACATTCAAAACTGATCATTCAAAAATAGACCCATTACAAGTATTATACAAATATAGAAATAAAATACACAACAAATATTTAAGGAAACAGTATTAAACAGTTTAATTTTTTGGAACTTCTATCAAACACATGCATATTAAAAAACTCGTCTGAAACCAACCGTATGTAACGTAATATTTTTTGTAGAATTCCATTACGTTGAAAAAAAGTTATTTTAAAAAGGAATCTATCATAATACCATTAGGTGATTTTTCTTCATTCTTTTCTTACTATTATTATTTATTTTTTTTTTTACAAGAGGAATCCAGAGAAGGTTGTAATAACAGGTACAGAACTGGAGTAGTATCCAGTGCCTTGACTACGTTTGACCCACACTTTGTCTCCTTGATTTAGCCTTAACACAACCAGGTTAACTCCCGTCTCATAATAATCCTTATCAGCATACACCCATTCTCAATATAAGGGCACAAATGCCTCTCTGATTTTTAAAAAAATGAAGTTCAAGAAAACAATTTTTCTATCAATTACCTTTGAAAGAAAGTATCTGAAGATTTTGTTTCCAGATTTTTTTTCATCAAATTATAATACATGGAATAATGACAAGACGATAAAGCAGAGGGTGATTTTATTCAGAAATGTAGCTTGAAATGTACGTTACTCTTTCTTCAATGTCCAAAAAGATATGTAAAAAAAAATGTAGTCATTAAAATCACAATTGGAATAGCTCATCTTAACACCAGCACATCCTACCAACTCTGTCAGCAACATATTTTCTCGGCAAACGAACGTGCGTTTGATTTTTCCTTTCAAAAAACAAAGGTTACTTTTTGATCCAGATGTATAAAAACATTTTTTTAAATATATGCTTTAAATTCTTCTCTCTGTTTTGTTTAGAGCGATCAGTTTGGAATCTTGTCATTTTTTATAGATACTGGAACCTAACATGTACATGTAGAAAAATTCTATTTTGTAGTTACTATCTTTTTTAACATATATCCATGCCGATTTAGAAAACTACGTAAATGTAACGTACATTTCAAGATATATTTCTGTTTAATAAAAAGCTTAAAATTCATCTAAAAATTCATTGTTTTGATTCAGTTTATTAAAAAAAAGATTCTCTATGTAATCACATTGTGTTATATGTCGCAAACACCACTATAAAGATACGATTGCCTCAGAATATGAGTAGGTAACGTACATTTCAAGCTTGTAATATGTAAATTAGTAATAAGAAAATTTTGAAAAAAAAGCAATTATTGACATAAAATTCATTTCAATGAAGCGTTTTAAGGCAGTAATATAAGAAATCATAATGTAACAAACGAGGTTATTTGTCATTAACTACATGAATGTCACGTCACTTCGGTAACGTTCATTTCACATATTATTGGAGAGTCCCCTCCACCTCAGTTCATTACCATTCTTTTGTGCTGTTTCGCTGAAATTGACACCGGTCGTAGCCTAGTTACTTCTACCTGTGTGCAAGGGTACAGACAAAAAAATATAAGAGTCAGACGTATTTTGCTATGATCTAACATATGCTCGTGTTTGGCCATGGAAACTGAACATAAATCTATTCCGAATATATCCATCGACAGTATGTTAACAATTTCATTTAATATGTTGCAACATCGTTTTTCAAAACACAAACATACGTGCTTCTCAGCAGATCTGGAAAAATATAACCCAAAATGCAATGATTCAAACAAAACTGAGTATTGTGTGCCTTTCAGTATTTGAAAGGTACGTGACCGTCTTGTGTTCTGGGTTTAGGCCTATTTGTTTCTTTTTTTTAATTTTTTGTTTCTTTTTTTACCAATTATAAGCCTATGCATACCTTGTTTAAATTATCAACAACAATTAAATTATAATATTGACGAAAAGTCGCATATTAAAAGTAAACAAACTGCAATAAGGTTGCCAAGGATGAATTTAAGACACTTAGAAATAAATTTTCTAGCATGTGGTAACAGTCTAAAACATTTACGAGGATTGGGGGTGCATTTAGATGGATTTATGTGGCCAGTTGTCAAATGGATTGTAACGATAATTTTGTTTCGCTCGTGTAAACGCAAATCATTGACTAAATTTAAAAAAAATGTCAGTTAGAAATACGTGAAATGTACGTTACCATACGTAACGTACATTTCAAATATAAAAATCAATTCTCTTCCACAAGCATACGTTAGACACGCAATATATTGATACTATTTGAACTTGCATATCATAAGAAATGCATCATACAGGTTTCGTATTCAGAAATATATACCAGGTATCAAAATTATTTTACATATAATTGACCTTAATATATTTTTGTTTTCCTCAGCAGAAACGTTTCTTTTCATTAATTTTGGGATTTAGCCGACCTCCAACCTTTGAAACTTTCCTTTGTGTACACATTCGACTGTGTGAAAGTATGAGAATACATGAAAATTCGTGCGAGATTCACTTAATTCGAATTTCATGGTAACGTACATTTCAGTAACGTACATTTCAAATGATAACTTTTCATGTAAAAAATAATTTTTAATTGTGTTAATCAAATCGTCTTTGCCAGTTTACAGGGTACAAGGGGTTGCTTACTCAGAGTCGTCTCATATTTTCTTCTTAATATATATTCTTAATGGAAAAATATAGGTAACGTACATTTCTTTCTTATCTCTACGATTGAAAATGTCTTTCATTCCGTAAACATATTTAAAAAAGTTGCTCAAATTGTTCAATTTCATGTTACATTATCTAAGTAGGAGTAATTAATCTATTGAAATCTCAAATTTAGCCCATCAATTAGTAAAGGAGAACAAAACTATCTGGTTTATAATCTTTGTTTTTGCTTTTATTGTGGTTTAAATAAAATTAAGCGACAGGGACATTGCACAATAAAAATTATTTATTATCAGAAAGAAAATGTATTTATTGTTATATAAAGAAATATATATGATACAAGGTTTAACTTATCAGAAAATTTTTACTTAAGAATCAAAACTATATATTACACAGAGGGGATTCAGAATAATATTTGCCTCGGCGACAGTAACGTACATTTAAAATAGGCTACTATATTTGAATTTGGAACTCCTTAAATACCCTTTCAGATCGATAATTATATGAATTCTTATTCATTGTTATATGACTATTTATAATGTTGATTTAAAAATTACATCAGTGGTATTTCTTTTAAATGAAAATGAGGCGACATTATTTGAGCCCTTATATTGAGAATGGGTGATAGTCGAATGCTAATGTCCTGACCTGAGATTCTCCATTCCATACAATGTCCACCCGAATTTCCTTTGTGTCATGACTCTGTACACTGACGAAGAAGACGTAGTGCCCGTCCACGGGGCCCGTGAACATCCCTGTAGTGGGGTTGTAACCTCCACCAGTATTAAATATTATCTTGGGGAAAATCAGTGTACTCCCGCTCCATGAAGAGTCGGAGGACGTTATTCCCGCGGTGAAGGCTACATTTGTAGACGCACCTAAAATACAATCACTCTATTAGTATTGACAATATATTTTTGTTTCACTTTCCTTTCAATTCATTCGAGTATTTCTTAGTATATTTAATAAACTACTTGGTATTCAAGAGTGAATTCAAAGTTAAGGGATAACAAACAAATATTACATCGAAATTCCACAAACACCAATTGTATTTGAATTCTAGTTTTTAGTGAACCAAAAAAAGGTGTAGGGTTATCAATAAAAAAAAATGGTAAACTCCAAGGTGGAATAAAATTTGATTTTTAGTTATTTAACTATTAAATGATTTTTATCTTTTTTCAAATAATTACCACACTCCCTGTTGGTAACGTTCAGTCGGAACACCTCTAAAGATGACACAGAAGACGAGAGTTTT